GTTATTTGTATGGAAAATTTCTTCAATATCATTTTTTGGACGCTTGCCGGATTTTTTAAAATTCTTCCGAAAAAAAGGTTGGTCTCATCTTATGTGAAATTTGATAAGCTTTCAGAAAACCATATTTTTTTATTATCTCTAATCATTGCATCACAATTGCCAATTTTCTAAGGTAACATCAAAAAAATAATATTTTAGGCGACATCAAAAATCGCTGCTACACCTAAAAAATATCGGTCGGGCCTTGAAATTTTCAGGGGAGAATCAGGGGCCTAGAAACTCTTTGAAAATGCATTAAAGTCAATTTCGGCAAGAGGGTCGAAAATTGCCGAAAAATCCCTGATGGAGGGGGAGGGGTTTAAATTGTGGTAGCATATAGTATAGGTACATGGATGAGAAACTACCAAATGAGTATTAAGTGCCTGCTATGGCTCATTGTCTTGCAGCCGACGCGCGAGTTCCTCAGCACCCGGAGAGGTACGGCGCTAATGAGCGCCCAGGTACACCTATGTGGACTTTTGCTTGCGGCAATCGTGCATAAGGCATTTAATTATGACATTGCGCATGGATATGAGTTCGTGAATGTTCAAGGAACACTTTTATACCAATATCAGGAAAAAATTATATCATTGTGATTTATGACAAAATATTTTGTGAAATATATCTAAAAAAAAAAAAAAAAAAAAAAAGCTTTGCGTCCTTTTACACACAAAATATGCTTCGAGATTCCCTGGTAATATGTTTTAGTTTACGTGGTAATATATACGTATATCACATACAAAGCACTAATGTTTAAAAATAACCTTATAAGGATTGAAATATTTCCGTTACATTTCGCTCAACGGTCGATACATCACAGCAGAGGTTTGTCTTAGGGGGCAATTTGAATTGATTTGAAATTGGTAGTTACCGTTGTAAAGACCAATTCAATACATATGTTACCTAAATGTCAGATTTTTAAACTTCGGATGTATAAGCGAGATACAGATTATTTCATGTTGAAGATGATAGTACTCAGTAATACCTGCTCTGAATTAAAAACTATATGGAATTTTGAGCTCGGTTGTATGCATAGTCTTTGTCTGGCGTTCAAAAAGCTATCGCATCCGTTTCGTGCGTTCCCAATAAAATTGAATATGTTTAGACGTTACCGTAAGTCTTAGGCACCATAAATTGGCAAATATCCCACAACACCTAGGCGTCTGCATGATTTTATGCACTTCTTAGTAAAGATAATGGGTGCAAATGGCTAATCATAAACTCTACACTTGTTCTCCTTTGCAATCTGTTAATATTGACAATTATCAAAGAAAATGGTATGAGAGGGATAACTAATATATTTCATTTAGATATGAAAGTCAATGTAGGCCTTCTAAATGATGATGATTAATCTTTTTAACTTTATGTGCTTGCATTCACGTACATATGATCCTCCTCGAAAATCATAAACACCCAGTGACCATCTCCCCCTCCCTCCCCCATGTGTGAGGCATGGGAAATATTCAACGACTTTATTAAGTTCTCGAATTCAATGTACTAAATTCATATGCTTTTAAATTTATCATAATCAAACCATGTTGTATTCATGACAGGACTTTATAATTAGAATGATTTTGTACTAATGTTGCCATCCACAGTTCCCCATTTCTTTCAAAAAATAAATAAACAAATAAATAAATAAAATGAAAAAAAAAAAAAAAAAAAAAAAAAAAAAAAATATATATATATATATATATAGAATATTACATACCTTTACAGAATAGCGTCCCTACTGAAAATGAAAATTCCTATTGACTTGGTAATCATTGCATTGCAAAGTACACTAAATAAGCATTTTTTTTTATATATATAATATCATTAGATTCAGAGAAAAATAACAGAGATAACGAACTTTGGCAAGGGGCCAAATACAAAACCCCATAGCTCCGTTATTTGCAGTTAGTTACTTTCACTAGAACCCCGGCGTCCCAAGGCCATGTAAAAGGCCGATTTTTGAATTTTTGCCTTAATCAAAAAATATTTTAAAGCTGAAAAAAAAAAAAAATCAAAAATAGTTCTCTATGTCAAGCTGTCCCCCCACGATGAGCAAACACAAGTATTTGGGGGGGAATATTCTGTGATAGTTGGGATGTACAGAAGATAATAAAAAAAAAAAATCACTTTTTGGAGGTGCCCCCCCCAATGGGGGAGCAAAGTTAAAATTTATATATACAATGGAGAAAAATTCTTTACTCTATCATAAAAAAAAAAAAAAAAAAAAAAAAAAAATCAATCAGTTATCTCTAACCGATATTTTTTTTATGATGTAAAGAGTAGGGAAAGGTGGCCATTTTCCGGGACTGTCCCCTGAACACTTAACTAGAATACCAAACCATTGCTTCACATCAACCTGCACATGAAGTACCAAAACTTATATGCATATATACTTATATATATACATATAAATAATATACATTATATATACACATGTATATACATATACATATATATACATATAAATGTATATACAAATATATATGCATATGCATATAAACACATTTATATATTTACATACATACATATATATACATATTACATACATACTATACATATATACACACTATACATATACTATAAATACATACATATATATACATATTACACACTAACAGATAAACACATAAATATATTTTACCATACATATTACTCTCTCCTCTATTACATTCTCATACATTATACATAATACTCTTATATAATATAACCTTTACATATACATTCATTTATATACATAGGACATACCATATACATGATTATATACATATATCTATACATACTTACATAATAATACAACTTATACTCTCTCTCTATACATATACTACATTATCCACATTTCCATATGTATACACNATTGAATCTAAGAATATATATATATGAGTGTATATATTGTTATATATTGGTTATATTATATATATGGGTGTGTCTATATTTAATAATATATATTATTCTAGAGGGGTATGTAAAATGCTACTCAAATTAGTTGTTTTAATTAGAGAGTTTTATATTAATTTATAGTATATATATGGCGATATGTCTGCGGGAAGTTTAGCTAAGAAATGTGATTGTGATTACTGGAATATTCCATTGTTTGATTTTTTTTTTCTTATAAGGTTTATTAGTGGAATTACATTTTGAAAATCTCATAAATAATATTTAAAATTACTATAATTTTGTATTCAGTGATTAGTAATAATTACATATTAATTTGAAGTTACACTGTAATAACTAAAGAGAGAAAAGAAATGTGCTCCCACATAAGCATATACTTGCAAGCCGAACATTTGCATAAAAATAATAATACTTAAATGATGACTATGATATCAACATCTCGAATTGGCATTCAATAATGAAATAACACAGTTATCTCTAGCAACACAGCACAATGAATTATGCTTTGTTAGTTGCACACAGTTGTGTTTAGTTCTAGCAATCATATATAAATAATATATAAGCGACTAATATTCTCTGTTATAGTATCATTGGAAATATACGTACATCATATATATATATAATATATTTAACTTTATTATTATTATGAATAATAATAATATTGCAACGGAAGGTATATTTATAATATATAAATAATTGCTTAAAAGTAACTAGAATAATCAACAATGAAATACACAATAGGGTTTAAAATTGTATGCTATTATATATAACTACCATATAATAAATAAACTAAACATAAAAAGCAATATTTATAGGAAATTACTATATATATTATTATAAAAAACTATACCTCTACCCTGTGTGTCGTGTGGTGTGTGTGTAATGATGTAGTGATAGTGTGTGGCTGTTATCTATTATCTATGTGTTTTATACCTATTTTTTCATATTATATCATTATATATTAAAAATAATACTATAATAATTAATATAAATTAAAATAAAATATGTCAGAAAAATATGGTTATATTTTTCATTCCTCCCAGTTTCTACTGTTAATGACATTTATACAGATACTAGGACATTAGATACTAATACTAGATGCGAGAGTGTACATATCTCGTACACTAAGTCATTCACCCGCACCCAAATCTCCTCCACAGAACCGCATCCTGTCAGCAGACGATCAGGAGATGACCCCATGTCGATCCACTCGTCGAAGGCGCTGCACATCGTTCCCTTAGGAGCGGGTTGTCGTCATGGACGCACACCTCCTGCGCGGTTGCGTAGAACTCCTTTTCGTCGTCGACTTTGGTGAAGTCCGGGGCGAGTCCTCGTAGTCGAACACCATGAGGAGGGATGTACATGGACGCCATGAGGACGCCGTACCCGTATGCTCCTTGCGTTTGTATTCTCCGTCAGTTCTCCACGGTGAAGAGCGGGTGGAATCCCTCCTGCTTCCACGGTGGCGTCGAAGGAGGACGTGTACGTCTGCAGGAAGTGCGGGAGAGAGTTCCGTCTCAAGGCGCCCGTTGATGCTCGAGTACATCAGGGTCTGGAGGTCGAGGGGGGGAGCCCTGGCGACACAGCTGCAGTCCAGCAGCATGACCTCAACCGGATGGCCGCCATCGTCATACCTGTGTCCGGTGAAAAGTATGGAAACTTGAGCCATTGCATAGGGGAGTAAAATGTACATAAACACAAGCATGCACGCGCGAAAGTCCTCAGATGCACATACTTGTGTATACTGTACACAGTTGTCGGTAGGAACAGATCCAACAAAATAACAAAAAGCGAAAAACAAATTAGCGATGCCGTGTAAAGTCAGATTAGAGTATGTCACTGGCTTAATTTTAATAGAATCTGAAATTCTGAAAATATTATTAATATGAATAATGGTTAGATACTGAAAAAGTAAAAATGGTGTTAACAATAGTATTTAAAGTTTAAAAATATATATATTTTGAATGTTACTACGGTTACGGCGTGCATGCATCAACAAACCTAAACAAAAATTGTTGGTCCAGCAGTCTCCGTGACCGAGCATAGCGAAGGGCGGCCGCGTCTCCAGCTGTTCATCAAAGACGTCGACTCCTCGAGGACCCAGCTCCCTCAGCCACCTTGCCATGTCCTCGTACCCTTTGGAGTTCTCCGCAATCGCTGTCGCCGGAGGAGGTCTCCCGAGATATAGCAAGCAGCCATGTCTTCTCTTGTATTTTGCTGTTGTTTGTCCAGTCAAGCGCCAGGAACTTGTGCCTGACCCTAAGTTCTTCGACTGAGTGTTTCCGCTGCAGCAGGACTGAAGAAGCGTGAATTCTCGCTAACTCCTGCAGGACAAGCACGGCGTGAGCGAAGTCCAGCCCCTTCTTGCGGTCGGCCATCCGGAAACCCCGAGCTGTGAGGTCCTCCAGGATGAGTATCTCTCGCTCTTCGCACTTGCTGTAGTGGTAGAATTTGGGGATTCGCAGAGGGTCCAGTCCTGCTTCCGCTAACACGCTGTTGAGTTCCGGCAAAAGCTTCGTGTAAAATTCGTGCTCTTTGAAGAAGGACATGTTGGAAAACTCCTTGTAGGTGTCGGAAAAGAGCATCTTGACTTTGGCCACGTATGTCAGCTGTTCCTCGCACTCTTCGATCATCAACCTGGGCCACTGCGCTTCACGCAACTTAAGATTTGTCTAATTTTCTCCCTACTTTGCCCAGGGACTCCGCCGTCACACGAGGTCAGGAAGCGCCCTCGCCCTTGTCGCGATCACTGCTCTCGGACGTCACACTCCAGGACGTTGAGGACGTCACTTTCCTGAGTCTCTTCTTCCTTACCCTCCTTCCCTCCTGTCCTTGTTTGATCTGGTTTTTCCTCAGTTGCCACAGACGTTTGACATTTTGTTCTGTTACATTTGTCATCCTTGTTCTTGTGTTCTTCTTGGTTTCTTGTTATCGATACTCCTGGTTACCTCTTCTCTTGTTCACCTTTGTCCCCGAATGTTTAGAAGGATCACATGTAGCTGAATGGTCCACTGAAAGGGGAGACATGTTCCTTAGAATAATTCTTTTGTTGAATTTGAATAATAGTAAAATAACATCACGAAATGTAATATTACATGTCCAGTTAAGGCATTTTTCAACCGATAGACAGTCCTATGGTGCGATGGATTGATTTTTTCTGGCAATATAATGATGGAAGTATCCAGTACTTTCGTGTTTTGAAATGCTCTTGTCTGTATGGAAAGCCTTGTGATTGGTGCCTGTATTTTCGCAAATAAATTCTTCTTGGCTACTGAAGATCAAAACATTAAAGAGTATATTAAAAAACGTTTGCGGAATGCCAATATTATTCCTTGAAATGTGTGACATTTTCCTTAAAAGAAAAGAATTGGAAATGGTAATAACGAACATTTATCCAATCCGATAGCCCAAAATTGATGACAACATTTTAATCTCAAATAGTTTTTAAGCAAAAATGCGTATGTAAATATATAAATGTTTCGATAAATTTAACAAATGTAAATATATTAGATTAAGAAGGTAAAGTACGAGCACATGTGATATTATCTGTAAATATAAATCGTAAGGTTTTCTCACGTGATTCTTGTTTTTGCGGTTTCCTTATTGAATTTATGAATGGCAAATTACCCAATTGCTTGATGGGTTGTTTATGCACAACTCGGTTTTGGAGTGATCCCTTAAATTGTAACCTTTAAAATCATACAATGTCATTCTCATGTATTGTATCCATTACTCTCTCTCTCTCTCTCTCTCTCTCTCTCTCTCTCTTCTCTCTCTCATCTCTGTTCTCTCTTCTCTCTCTCTCTCTTCATCTCTCTCTCTCTCTCTCTTCTTTTAGTGCGAAATATGTAAGGAACATCCTTAACGACCAAGTTAAGATGTATGATGTCTAATTTTTATTACGGAATATGTAATAAATGTTATGCCTAACAAATTCAAACATATATCTATATTTCGCTTGAAAGGACCATTTGGACTGATGATATTTTTCAGTTAAGAAATAATGCAACAAATTGAGTAGTGGAAACCTTGCAGTGCCGACCTGCGGTCTGAAAGGAAGAGGAAGCCCTGAAATGAACAGTGAAATCAACAATGAAATTGCACTTATTACGAGATTATATGTATATATGAACATGTTTATATAGATATGAAAATAATATATAAAAATGTTTATTTAAACGCATACATATATGCATATACAATGTACAATATATATATATATATATATATATATATATATATATATATATATATATATTTATATTACACATAATGTATATATATTCAAAATATTTTTTCACATTAAATATAAATAATTTTGTGCCTTTCGTTAGGTCTATTGCTGATTTTTACAGTCGAAACATATCACTGTTATTTACACATAATGAATAGTTTTATTTACTAAAAAAAAAAAAAAAAAAAAAAAAAAAAAAAAAATATTCATTCATACACTGTAGGGGCAAGCATTGCTTAGTCGCAATTGTCAATCTATGAAATATGGTTATTTTTTCAGACTTGTTGCAGTAAAAGTCAGTTTTTTTCTCAAGTTGTGTCATTTGAAAGGTTATAGCAATC